TCCCTCCCCCTCCCCCCTGACAGCCAGGAGCCTGCTTGGGATTCTCTCTGTCCCTCCCCCATTGGCACTCTCTCTCAAAATGACTGAATAAACATTAAAACAAAAATTGTTTTAAATAAACAAACCCCAGTAAATAAATGCAACATATAAACTTTATTTAACAAAAATAACAGGCAAAGTCAAACAGGCACTTATATTAAGAGAAAAACTGACTAGAAGAAATTTATCTTGAATACCTTACAGTAACCTACTTGCAGTTGCATTTAACTGAGCTCTGTTGCTGTGAAGAATACAGCTTATGCACAGGTATGGATGAACGATTTGTACATTTTTCAAGTATTCACTGAATACTACCTTATATACACATATACATTAAATTTGAAAAAGATTTAATTGACGATCCCCAGATATACTTCATTTTTGTTGTTCTTTTGGAAGAGGTCGTCTAAAGAGAAGAATATGTGGTTCTGTGGAAACAAAACATTTTATATAATTTTAATACAATACAGTTAATTTTCATTCACTAAATCCAAAATTCAAATTCTGAATTGAACCAAAATAAAATGAATCCACGATCAACTGTTACTTATTGAAGTATCCGAAATACATTTTGCTTCAAGTCACTGTCAACTGTAAACAGAAAACAAGCTGATAATGTCAATATTCCCCTCCATGTTTTTTTTATTTTACCTACCCTGGAGAAAGAGACGCTAACTAAGTAGAGAAATCACTTTGGGGAAAATGGTTTCTACCTTTAGAATCTCCATTCCGGTGGAAAAGAGAAAGGTTACCTCTCTCCATGGGAAAAAGACACCGAATACAAAAATCAAAACCCACCGGCCTGTAGAAAGTACAGATCCCTGGGGCCCATTCCCAAAGGTTGTTTCTTTGTAAGTGGGGGCCCCGGGTTCCCTAGTTCCCCAGTTGCTCTGGTATTAGCTGGAGAAAGAGCTTTTGAACTGGGATACGATTAAATGCCCCAATCCTAAGAAAGTTTTAATTCAGTTTCTGATGCTGCTACTGCTGATTTCCTTCAACAAGCAGAAAACAAGACTGCTCTAGTTTCACCTAATTCAGCTGCTATAGTATGCCTTCAAATTTTGTCGAAGGCATCAGAAGTTGTTTAAGTTAGATTTATTAGTAACACAAAGGTAGAATTTAGCCCCACAAGTTTTACTTTACCATCTCATATCTGGAAAACCCCACACATCAACACACTCATAATGCACCACACACATAGCACGGTTCACTATGTTATCTAATTTCATCTTAATGTGGTAGATAATAATTATCCCTTACTAGAAGGCTAAACAAAAAGACACATCAAAAGCACTTCAAATTGCATTAACTTCTATGCACAGAACTTGAGGACACTTTAAAGTATCTTAAAATAAGTTCCTGGTTTTCAAAGGCAGGGGTGGGAGGGAACACCAGAATTATACTCCTGGCAAAATTAAATACTATTAATAACAACACATTAAAAAAAAGACATTTTAAAATAAAACAGAATTGCCTATTTGTTTCTACTCCTTATCTTTTTGCAGGTAGAATAACGTGTTACTTTCACTCATGTATTATGTACTTTATAAAATGGAAATTCTTTCTAGGGAGGAAAGCAATCGGCCATTCAAACTTACTGGTTACTTTGGGATTATCACTCAGTATCAAATATTACTCAACAATTTTCCACAAGTGCAACCCTACTATTTTATCTCAGTTAATGCCTTCCTAAATGGCAGAACTTACCCGGCTCATGGATCATGTAGTGGACCCAGCCTAGACTCTGCTGGACACCGAGTCTCCTCCACTCCTCTTCAGACATCAGATGGGTTTTTGGTACTTGTTTGGAAAGTTCTCTGGGTAGCATGACATGCCTGTTAAGATACAGCCAAGAATTAGTAAATACACCTTTCCTACAATTATGAGCACTTTAGAAATACATTTTCAGGATACTCAAAATCTGAGTTCAAAATAAAGATTTTTCAAGCAATTCTTGTTACTGTTGGCGTCAATCTTCAGAACCATCTAATATCTCTAATTCTGATTTCTGACGGCCTATGTTCAAAATAGGGAGAGAAGAATATATGGTCGAAAAGCAGAAGACATTTTTTTAGGACTCCTCTTTTCTTCTCCAAGAGACTGCTTGCTACTTGTCCCCATGTTCTTCAGGAACAGAAGCCCATACCTGAAATCAGGCTCATGGTTCTCCAAAACATCCCAACCAGCCCTACAGCTACCTCTGAGGACTTAAATCCTGGCCAATAGGGTGTAAGGAGAAAATATGCCACTGATGGAAACTGTCTTCAAAAGGGAAGAACGTGCCCAACTCTCTTCCTTATTCTTTCCTGTTATGAAGCCGACTGATGTGATCAGGGAGCCAGAGAAGCCATCTAAGACCACAGAAGCCTTGTAAACTGGAGATGGTTTCTGACCGTAGAACGGTCGTCCCAGACCCATGCAGCCTTTTACAGAAGAGAGAAAAAAACTAATTTGTTAATTTGGGTTTCCCACTACTCAACGTTATAGATTTGCAGTACACACAAGTCCTTATGTACCCTAGAAGTTTTTTCCAAATCCAAATCAAAAACAAACCCAAGTCCCACATATACATGTACCTGACAACGTTACACAGTGACCTTCAGTTTTCCATAAGTTACAGACTTGTATCCAGATGACCTATATCCAAAACTTATTAAGTTTTTTCAGGAAGGCTTGCAATACTCTCCAATGTCAAACCATCAAGAACATAATTGTAACTTCACACAACTTAAGAACAAATGTGCACCCTGCTTAATTACAGTAAAAAAACTTTATAAATCACCATTCCCAGTAGCAGTAAAGTTGCACAGTCATCCATAACCAGTTTCTTGACCTGTGTAAAATACCTACCACCTGAGTCCGTTGGCCAGGTGGGGTGAGAAAGGTGCAATCTGGTCGGTGACCCTTTTCCGCACGGGAGAAAACGGAACCCCTAGCCCATTAGCACTCAGCCATCAACTTAAGTCTGTGACTGGTGAATTAAATACCCGTTTCGTATTATTTACAAAAAAGAAATGAGCCTCAAAACAACTGTGTTGCCAGATCTGCCACGAGGCTGCTGAATCCAATTATGCTCTTTTTACCAGTGCCAGTGCACTACAGTTGACCCCTGAACAACACGGGGTCAGGGGCCCTGACCCCCTGCGCGGTTGAAAACCCACAGGTAACGTGAGGCCCCCATACTTACTGATAGCCAACCTCTGACCCGAAGCCTTCCTGCCAGTACAGCCAGCCAATAAACGTGTGTTTTGTGTTACCTCGAAAAGCTGCTTTCACAGACACGTTCAAGGCTCTACAAATGTCGTCTCCGCCTTCCACAGCAACGGCTGTTACATTTCTCCCAGAGAAGCGCAATGTAGCCACGCCACGCACAACCACGGAATCGTGTCCCCGCTGACCGGGCCTGAGTCACAACCGCGGGAACAGGCTGTTTCCGGCCAGGTAACACCGGGCGGTGGAAGCAGCTTCACCGACAGAACTGCGGCTGACTGCACAGGGACGCTTCCCAACTCCGTGTGAGAAAATACTGCCGAAAGCCAACGTTCCCTTCCCGACCGCGGGCGCGGGGGCAGAGACCAAGGCCAGGTACGCGGGAGGCTCTGAGCAACAAGACGCGGCCGAGGAGGGCGGACGGCCGACTGCCGACAGGACCTGGTCTGCAAGTCCAGGCGCAGAGCAGCCTCAGCATAAGGAAACTAGGAAAAGCCACGTCTGTACCTACAGCACAAACCAAACACCCAACAGACCCAATTTCCCGCTGCCCTCTCCCACCACGAACCGCTCGGCTAACTGGGCTACGAGCCTGGGGGGTCTACCTTGCGCGGTGCTCCTCACTAACCGCGCCGGGGTCCGGAAACCAAGGGCGGAAGTACCGCCCCGAGTCCCGGAAAGTACCTTCCCCACTTGGGGCCCCCCGGTGCAGGACGCCCCGTCCCAGCCCCGATAGCCCGCCGTCGGACGCCCGCAGCGCGTCACGGCACGTTAGGCCCACGCACCACGGGAGAACCGTGTCTGTGCTCTTCCTCTACAAAACTGGGCGGGCAGACTTCAAATCGAAGTGTGGCAAGAAAACCGCATTTTCTAGCCGGGGCAGGAATGACTAATCGGTAGAGCTGCCCGGAAACACGCCCCGTTTTTCCCCAGAAAACACATTTCTAAGACCCAGGAGAGCGGAGAAACACCGACTGGAGGCCAGCCGCC